TAGTTTAATAGTATACAAGTCGTTTAACAGCAGGTTAACATTAAAATCACCACATATAACATAATATTCATACTCAATTAAAAACGCGGATAACTCAACAAAAAACGAATCTAACATACAACACCTATGAGGATTATACACACAGGACACTAGTACTTTTGTTACACCGTCTGAAATTTCAGAAATAATAAATTCCGTTTCAGGGTTATTCGGTTTAGCTAAAAGTTTAATTTTTAAGGTAGATCTGTAATATATTGCAACACCTCCCCCTTTTTTTTGTTGTTCGATCGTGACGTATAAGATTATAGTGTGGGATTCATTAATAATAGTCAGGAATATTAGAATTGAACCATGTTTCTGAGACACAGATAACATCAACGCCCGATCCCCCAAAGACATTCCTAACGTAGTCCATTTTGTCACCGTTAAGGCTTCGCGCATTAAAATGCACAATTTTTAGGCCACTAGACTCTTTGCACAAAATATTTACTAAAATTTTATGGTTTTCATCAATGCTGCCGGCAGATTTCCTACTGGGGTTTAAATCCATCAGCTGAAAAATGAGTAACCACAAAGCGTAGGCAAAACAAAAAGATTTCAAAACATAAATACATAAAAAATACGATTTCAAAACGAACATATACATAATTATTTTCTAGTGCTAATAAGAGCATTAACCTCGGCCCTGCTTCTCACCAGTTTGGGCTCCTCGCTTGGTTTAAGCCGTACAAAAACTCTCCCACGGATGGAGAAGGTTGACGCCAACTGTTTCTTCCGCCTAAGCTCCGACGCATACGACATCACCTACATACATGTTTGCACATAAATTACCTTTTATTCAAAAGAAAATATTTATGTTACTACTCAGAATGATATTTATTTCTGAGCATTGTTAGAAATTTAAAAATTTCTTTTTTACTTTGCTTTTGTACTGCTCCGCACTTGCTCCTTTGGGGAGCAGCTAACTTTCAGTCCCGTTGGGTACTTAAATTTGTGCTTCAATGGCATTGATGAAGTTGTTGATTGAAGATATGTTGTCCTTGGTGGGAGTTTAAGGAGCTATGTCCAGTCCATGATAAGGTGCCTCGTTCTAGCTTCTTCTAGTGTCGCGCATTCAGAAAAAATATGATTTAAGGTCAAAGCATTTTGGCAGTGTGGGCAGAGAGGTGCTGGATCACCTGATAAGAGGTGTTGATGGGTGCACCGGGTATGTCCAAGGCGAAGCCTTGAAAATTTTACAATGTGGCATTTCCAAATACTAGTCGGGTGTACAGAGCTTTTCACCCTTATTCTAGAACCCGAATTTTCGTAATTCGTAATTCGTAGCTACGTTACGAAAAACGCAAAATCGACATGCTGCAACCCTTGCCGAAAAATGTGCAGCATTGCCAGGTATCAGTTGTTTTTCGAACTCAGCTGTATGAAGTAGAGGTATACGCCGCCGAGCCACGCCGCCGCCGCCGCCGATTTTTGTCATTCCTCATGCGCCGCCGCCGAGTTACGAAAATATCGGCGCGGCGGCGGCGGCGTTCGGCGCCTAAGGAGTTTTGTACAAAATTTTCATGATGTATGTACATTGAAATACATCGTTTGAAGGAACTAAATACTTCTCGTTTAAAAACACACTTTTACGAAATGAAAATTACTTTTTTAAAGGAGTTTTTTTTTGCATAATTTGGGCCACTGGACAATAATATGATCTCCTTTATTTTTCCAAAAAGAGCGTAACTCAGAAAAAACATAGGTAACATATTTTTCGATCTAAAACGTTTATTACAGATGCTTTCCATTTCCAGACAACCGGTCAGGTACGAGCATGATTTTTAATTTCGACCAAACTCAAATACATTGTTTGTTGGTCCAAATAAGGAGACACGTATTTTTTCTTTTGGCTCGGAAAAATTTTTCGGCCGAATTAAACGCGATTTTGTTTTTCAGGCAATAATCGATATTCGAATTGACAGTGAGAATGTTTTTTTAAAATGCCTATAACTTGGTCAAAATTTAATAGATTCCAACAATGTTTTTACTCTGTCTGGAAATGGAAAGCATCTACAGTTAAATTAGGGTCGAATACTGGTAATCTAACGATTTTTTTCCGCAGTAGACAACTCCTTCCAATACTACAACAACAACAAAGTTATAACACATCAAAAACTTTAACGCCAATATCTCAGAAAGCAGTTTTAACCGAAGCAGCTTCTGTTCATCTAACTCATTCCATCTAACACCTCAATTATTAGAGATAAAACAAAGACAAGTTGATTTTCCTGAGTATTTTTTTTATATTTTAAACATACTTTAAATAAAGAGCAAACACTTTATTTTTGCTAATTTTTACATTCGTAAGTTATTTTATTCTGGGGTCCCACATACGTATACAAGTACTAGGTGGCTGTGTGAAAATTACGTTAGCATTCCTTAATGGTGGTCAAACCCCAGGAAGGTTTTGCTCCCTCGCATTGCAACGTTTTCTACAAAGGGTTAAAGCTCCCCCTTTTTGGTAAAAATTAGTATTATTTTTCATTACATTCGGTTCTTCCTAGAAAAATTTGGCGCTTAATATTTTAGTGGACATTTTAACCATCTATAAGCCATTTTTTTAAACAGTGGGTCAAAAAGACCCGTTCTGGTTCGAGTTGATGGGTTAAACTTTTGGAAAAAAGTAGACCAACCTTGTTTTCAATATGTAATCCGCAATAAATCGTAAGAACTCCGTAATTTAACATAACGGTTGAGAAGAATATTGCAAAAATTTATTGATAGCGACATAAATTATCCCAATAACTTAACTTTTAAAATTTTTTATTTCTTTAAATTTAAATAGTACGTACGGATCTGTCCCGCAGAAAAAAATTATCAATTGATAAAAAATAAGCCAGTTGTAGTTAGCTTTTTTGCGGGATTTCTATGAAATATATAACTTGTAGTTAGCTACAAAAAGCTAGCTTGAGACTAGTTGACAAGTAATGCAGGAGTAATGAAGGAGATTGTTTTCTTTAAAGGCGTTTGGGCAAACGCGTTGAGGACAAGTAAAAGGAAGATCGAAATTTCGTATTATCATTTTGATGTTATGTCTGGCGGAGTTCGGATATGGGACCACCTACAGCAGAATATGAAAAGAAATATGAAATGTAATAAAGTAAATAAAAATAAAAAAAATAAAGTTAAAAAAAATATTTTGTTTTTCCTATTGATATCTTATGTCCAAAAGTAGTTAGTTACAAGTTAGTTACATCTAATGCAGAGGTAAACCACCCTTGACTATTTCGCGGCCATCACCATGGAAATATAGTTAGCTCTCGTCAAAGAAAATATACAGATAATAAGTGACTTTTAGCTCCTTCCTAATCAACTTAAAGTTAGCTTATAGTTAGATACATTTCCTGCAGGGCGTAGAGAACATACAGAGCCATGTGTGTATGTATATATATACCTCAGACCTTCTTCTGTTCGTCCATCGTAATTTAAACTTAAAACTAGTTCAATGAATAAATTAAATATAATTATATTCTGAACTGGCATGGTGAATGCCTAACGCTGACGAGATGACATGATAAGATTAGTAGCCTCATGGCTCTTTGGAATCTACCTCATGGGCAGTAGCGCCGGCGTCGCCGCCGCCGCCGATTCTTTTTGAAGTTGACCACGCCGCCGCCGCAAGGCCTGTCGGCGTAAAGCTCTAGTATGAAGGGAAACAAAGTGGAAAAGAATTAAAAAAAACCTCATCATGTGCTTGTTTATAGTAAAATTTATTGATTTTAAATATTTTGAGGAAAATTATGGATTCTGATGCATTTGCAGTTATAGCAGCGGAGTAA